CCAACCCCCCTCCACGAGCCTTGCTCTGTGTGTGACGGGGGAGAGGCATAACCTCTCCATCGGCCCTGCCCCGAGTGTGACAGGGGTGGCGCCCCAACCCCCCTCCATGGGCCTTGCTCTGTGTGTGACAGGGTAGAGCCATAACCTCCCCATTGGCCCTGCCCTGAGTGTGACAGGGTGCAGCGCCCCAACCCCCTGATCTGCCCTGCTCTGTGTGTGACAGGGGGCGGTGCCCCAACTCCCCTATCGGCCCTACTCTGTGAGTGACAGGGGGGAGCTCCTCAACCCCCTGATCGGCCCTGCTCTGTGTGTGACAGGGGGCGGTGCCCCAACTCCCCTATCGGCCCTACTCTGTGAGTGACAGGGGGGAGCTCCTCAACCCCCTGATCGGCCCTGCTCTGTGTGTGACAGGGGGCGGTGCCCCAACTCCCCTATCGGCCCTACTCTGTGAGTGACTGGGGGAGCTCCCCAACCCCCTGATCGACCCTGCTCTGTGTGTGACAGGGTACTGAGCCCCAACCCCGCTGATGGGCCCTGCTCTGTGAGTGACAGGGGGCAGCGCCCCAACCCCCTGATTGGCCCTGCTCTGTGAGTGACGGGGCAGCGCCCCCACCCCCTGATCGGCCCTGCTCTGTGCGTGACAGGGGGTGGCGCCGCAACCTCCCCATCGACCCTGCCTTGAGTGTGACAGGGGGCGGTGCCCCAACCCCCCAATCGGCCCTACCCTGAGCGTGACTGAGGGTGGCATCGCAACCTCCCGATCCTCCCTGCTCCTTGCATGACGGGGTGGCGCCCCAACTCCCCAATCGGCCCTGCTCTGAGCCTGACCAGGGGCTGCACCTAGGGATTGGGCGTGCCCTCTGCCACCCAGGAGCAGGCCTAAGCCAGCAGGTCGTTATCTCCCGAGGGGTCCCAGACTGCGAGAGGGCACAGGCCGGGCTGGGGGACCCACCTCCCCCCCGAGTGCACAAATTTTTGTGCACCGGGCCTCTAGTTATAGATATAAAAGCCTAAGGGACTGTTACAACAGAACGACCGGAATGACTGGAACAACCGGTCACTATGATGCGCACTGACCACCAGGGGACAGACGCTCAATGCAGGAGCTGCCCCCAGCCCACAGGCCCCAATTGCCAGTGGGGGCTGCTGGCCAACCTCCCGGTCCCTCCCCCCAGACGGCAGGTCCTGATCGCCCGGTCGGGGCCGGGCCCGTGTTGGGACAGGGAACCGGAAGTAGGTGGCAGCAGATGCGGGAGACGAGGGAAGGAGGAGGGGCGGAGGCAGGGAGGCGGGGAACCTGATTGGCCCTGATTGCTGGCCAAGCCTAGGGACCTACCCCTGCACGAATTTCATGCACTGGGCCTCTAGTATATGTCATAAAATATCATCCTGGCTGGTGTCTGGAGCATGGATTATCAGGGGAAGGATGCAGTAATGTATGTGAGGAGAGCAGAGTCCAAGTCACCATAGACAAGTCATTTGATCCTCAGTTTTCTCATCTGTAAAATGGAGCTAAGAAAACCTACCTCTAAGGCTTCTGAGGATTAATGGGTATAATGACTTCCATGTACCCAACACAAAACAGGTCCCCACTCAATCGAATCCACTGTTATCTCCTCTTTCTAGGTAACACCCCAGGACTTCTTACACGTGTTTAATTCTTTGCTTTGTAACATAAAGTTTGATGGTCTTTGTTATTAAAACTCTGAGACATTCATTGATTGCATTAGGTGTCCAGAGGCAGTCCCTGCCAGTTGTAAGAAAAGACCATACCAGAAGGAATCACGTTACTGCAGCATATTCAGGGCTTTCCTTCGCTGGGATTTTACATTCTCAAGGCGTGGGCTGCTCTTAAGACAGCAGGCCGAAGGTGCAAAGTCTACCGTGTCTCCAGAATAAGACTGTTGCTGCCTGTCTTAGCTGTGGGTGCCCACAGGGTGGGTGACCGCACAAGCCCATTGTTCTCTGGAAAAGCACCCCTGCCTTTCACAACAGGCAAACCTGCCAGCGAAGCCGATGCCAGGCCGCACGCTTCCGAGCACCTGCGCCTCGCAGCCGAGGCTCTGCCTGAAGGCACACAGACGCCTGCGAGTACGTCTCAGAGTGTGGGCTGTGCTATGTACTCGTGGGAGTTAGGAAACTGTGCTTTTGTGTTCCCTTTCTACCCAATGTGGGCAATGTATAATTTTCCAAAAGGTAAAATTGTAACTCTTGTGCAAATAGAAAATGAACTCATGTCAAAGATTTTGTTTAACTGATTAACGAGGGAACCAGACAAGTGTGAAAACCGGGTCAAAGAGCATCGAGGGTCTCGGTGTCTGTAGGCAGTTAATAAAGGAACTTTAGGATAGAGTTGCAGGGCTACGTACAAATTTGGTTAAAGTCTGACAAGGTAATAAACCATAATCTTCCAGGATATCTTCTCCTACCGAACACAAAGTATTTGCCTATTTCACTGGAAAAAATTGTAAAGTAGCATGTAACTTCACTTGTCTTGAACTCTAACCCATACTCTTTTGTTTTTAATATATTTTATTGATTTTTCACAGAGAGGAAGGGAGAGGGATAGAGAGTTAGAAACATTGATGAGAGAGAAACATGGATCAGCTGCCTCTTGCACACCCCCCACTGGAGATGTGCCTGCAACCAAGGTACATGCCCTTGACCGGAATCGAACCTGGGACCCTTCAGTCCACAGACCGACGCTCTATCCACTGAGCCAAACTGGTTAGGGCTAACCCATACTCTTGATACGATTCGAAAGCCCGGTTCCCTCTAAATGCTTCGTCTCTGCTGGAGTCTCCAAGCGGAGCCCCACGCTCCCTTGAAACCTGCTCACAGCACATTCGAGGGACAGGAGCTGAGTGTGGGGACTAGCCAGGCTGAGGCCCATCTTCTGGACATTGTAGTGGCCGTTGTCACTGAAGGCCACCTGGAGGGAGGGCCCAGTGTCACGGACAGCGTCCTGCTTCCCTTCTCTCCACAGAAATAAGAGCTGTCATCTGGTGCCACGTGTCACTTTCCCTCCAAAGACCTGACTTTGGGGCATCACATGACTCACCCTTATCCACCCATCAACGCACCAGGTAGCCATCGAGCACCTACTGTGCGCTGGGACCTATATATCCTAATTCTCCTATTATAAACATGCATTGATAAATAAGGAATGATTATATTAACCCCACAGAAACAAACTACCTTCATTTAATTACAGCACAAAGTTCTAAGGAGAAGGGAGCTTAGCCATCGCTGCTGTGGCAACAAGGTGATTTTTTTTATTTTGTTAGGAGTGTGTAGCTATGGAAAGATCCGGTCTCTGAGAATTAGGGAAACAGACTGGATTGCATCCTGGCTGTGTCACCAAGGACAAGTCACTAACCCGCTGAGTCCTAGTTTCATCATTCGTTCATTAATGAACTTTTTTTAGCATCTCCCTGTGCACCGGTCCAGGCTTGCCTCTGGGGACAAGAGCAGCAAATAAGCGAGATATGGGCCCAGCAGACATGGGACTTCCAGTCCAATTCAGGAGAAAAATGACAAAGAACCAGACAAAGAACGATGTAATAATTATGACAGTAACAGGCAAGCTTTACTGAGCACTTCCTAAGTACTTGCACTTCAATGAGCTTTATACACATCAACCCATTTAATTCTCACAAGAACACCACAGGGTAAGATAGTTACTGTTATTCCCATTCTGCAGACAAGGAACCTGAGGCCCAAAGAGAGTAGCCAATTTGCTCAAGGACACACAGCCGGAAGTCACTCAGCTATGTAAGTGCCAGGGTCATAGTCACCACAAATGAAGCCAGGGCCATGAGGGCATATTAGGGAGACTGGACCTGGTCTCAGGGTGCAGGTCAGACTTCCCTGCGGATGTGACATGTCACCTGAGACCCCAAGGATGAGTAGGAACGAATCAGGCAAAGAGCAGGGACCGGAGCCACTGGGGACGAGGAAAGGAGATAAAATAGCAATTGTGAAGGGCTCCAGCGTGCCTGACTGAGCGGTATTGGTGCAAGGGGGGATGGCAGCGGTAACAACAATGAATTTTTCCTCCCTTCTCACCCAGGCACTCTTGGCCAGGGCACTTTATAACAACGACCCGGACTGCTCTGATGAGCTGGCTTTCTGCAAAGGAGACATCCTGACCATTCTGGAACAACACGTGCCGGAAAGCAAGGGCTGGTGGAGGTGTTTGCTCCACGGGAGGCAGGGCCTGGCCCCTGCCAACCGCCTCCAAATCCTCTCGGGGGCCCCCGCAGACAGTCCCTGTCCCCCTTTCCTGAGACCCCTGGAGGAAGCTCTCGCCAGCTCCAAGGAGGCCTACCAGGTGCCCACCCTGCTGAGCCCCCCACCTCCAGGCCCTGTGTACGAGCCGATGAAGAGCTGGGTGACGGGGCCCCCGCCACACACAGTCCAAGTCTACGAACTCCCTGACCCACCTGCCAGCGCCAGAATCGTCTGTGAAAAGATGCCAAGCTTTTCGAAACAGGTGAGCATATTTCCAAATGAAAGAGGTAGGGCATAGATGGATCCGGAGACAAATGGGAGGGGAGGGGGGGTTAGAGAGCAACCAAAGGGCTTGTATTCATGCATATCAGCATAACCAATGGACACAGACACTGGGGCGGTGGGGGCTTGCCCGGGCTGGGAAGGGATAGGGGAAGGGGTCAATTGGGGGGAAAAGAGACATATGTAAAACTTTAGACAATAAAAAAAATGGAAGGAAGGAAGGAAGGAAGGAAGGAAGGAAGGAAGGAAGGAAGGAAGGAAGAGGTAGGGCTAGTGATGTGTGACACCCAGGGGCGGGACCACCCTTCAATCACTGGTGCCCATCAAAGCAAATGGGCCAATGGGACCCAGACCGTTGGTGTGATGAGGTGAACTTGGGTTTAGCCCCCACTTAGTGGCCTTCCCACCCTTCGATGCCCCAGCTCTCCAGGCACCCACACTCGGTGGGAAACTGAACGTTTAGTCCAGCTGTGCCACAAAGTGCTGTGGGCATGCGTGGTGGCCATTTTCACCCGAGGTGGGAACGGTAGGACAGCCAGTGATAAATGGAGGAGTTGGATTTCCATGGGTTCGAAGGCAGGAAATTACTCATCAGCTTTAAAATATATATTCCCTTCAACCCAGAAATTTTACTTCCAGAATTGCTACAGAAATCCACAAGAAGGCAGATATATCTGGATGGGGAGGCCATGCCACTGTAGCATTATTAGTCATAAGGAAAAATCAAAGCTGCCTAAATGTTTGTTAATAGGAGATGGTTCATAAATGTGGGCATACTCCTGCAACAAACTAGCATGCAGTTGTGAACAAAAGAGGAAGTAGTTTGTCCTGGCCAGTGTTCAGTGGTTAGAGCACCAGCCTACGGACCAAAGGGTCACAGGTTCAATTCCCAGTCAAGGGCCCGCGCCTGGGTTGCAGGGTTGCTCCCCGGCCCTGGTCGGGGGGTGCGGGAAGCAACCGATCAATGTCTCTCTCTTTCTCTTTTCTCTTCTCCCTCTCTCTCTCTTTCTCTTTCCCCCTCTCTCCCTCCTACTCTCTCTAAAAATCAATGGAAAAAATATCTTTGGTGAGGATTAACAACAACAACAAAAAAGATGAAGTAGTTCTCCAAGGTGTTTATATAGGGGAATGAAGAGCCATTCAAATAAAAACCAAGCAAACAAAAACTAAAAATTAAATTCTGTGTGTGTGTGGTGTGTGGTGTGTGTGTGTGTGTGTGTGTGTGTGTGTGTGTGTGTGTGGTGTATGAGTGTGGTGTGTGGTGTGTGTGTGTGTGTGGTGCGTGGTGTGTGGTGTGTGTGGGGGGGGTGTGTGTGTGTGTGGTGTGTATGTGGGGTGTGTGTGTGTGTGTGGTGTGTGCTCACACATTGGAAAAAATGCACGCCACCAGTGGTTACCCTTAGGAAGTGGGATTGGCCGAGGAGAAAGTGAAAGAGAGCCTTAAGCAGGGCCCTTTATTTTATTCACTCCTATGTCCCCAGCCCAGGACCGTGGCCGGCCTGGGGTGGGCACCTGTAAATATTTCACGAACTGAGAGATTAGGAAGTTGATGTGTGTTATAGCACAGAGTGTTCATTACACCTGAAATTCTTTTTAAATGGGAGTTTTTTTTAAAGACAAAAAGAAGCACCCAGTCAATGCAGAGTGGAAAAAAAATTAAAGAAGGGAAGGAATGAAAACAAAAAAGGAGAAAGATAATAATGCTTTTTTTCCCGAGCCCACGCCTTCATGAGGTGCTGAGAACACAGAACAGATTTGCAAGGTCTGCAGCCACGGCGGCATTCCCTGCCACCGTGCCTTTGCTTTCAGCTCCAGCGACAGTCCGCCTGGCACAGCTCTGGGCAGAGGGCCTGACAAGGCCGGTGTCAGGGAACGTCCACTCCCCGTGGATGTGCTGGGGGCCCAGGAATGTCATGCTTGCGAGACAGGCCTCCGCACACCAGCTCCCAGCACCATCTGCAAACAGGGAGGTGCTGACTCCTTAAAAGGCTTTGAATACTTCAGATGTTCTGACTCCCTGGGCTGCCAGGCAGAGAAGCAGACAGCTGTCCCACAGAACAGCTGCCCCTTGGGCACCGGCTGCAAACCCCCAGGAAGCTGGCTGGGCCCTGCAGCAGCCTCTGGGGTGGACCCAGGTCCCCCCTCGGGAACAGCTGGGGAACTCGGCCTGGACAAGGCCTGGCACGCCCACCTGCCTCAGGAAAAGCACGGGGCCTGTGCTGAAGTTAATTTTTCTTTTCAAAGAGACAAAAGAAAGGGAAAAAACGAAAGCCATTTCCCCTTCCCAAAAGGAAAACAGCGGGGATGCCCACAGGTCACCAGGTGTCCCTAACACCCAACACGCTGTCCCGTGAACGTTGCTGAATGGTTGGAGCGACCTGACACAACACAAGGCTTCCTAACCGTGGACTTGCACTTCTAGCCTGACACCTGGTGGAACGGGGAGGGTGGGTGTGCTGTCTCAACAGGAAAGGGCCAGGGCACGCGCTCTGAGCTTTGTCCTTGAGCGCAGAGTGTCCGCGGTGAGAGCCCCGGCCCGTGTGGGCTGCAGAATCAGACAGAAACCACAGCTGCCGACGGGGAATTCAGAAACCAGGGGCTCCTCGCCAGGCCTCTTGAGGTGGACCCTGTAAACCCCCGGGGGACTTTTCTACCTTTCATTCCCGCTGAGGTTCCCTCCGCGGCTGCCTGTCCACCACCACCGCCCTCTTGTTATTGCCTCTGTGCTGGGGGGTCTTGGAGAGCCCGTGTGGGGCTCGGGATCAGGAGTCCTGGTTGACCTGCCCACCTGGGCCATCACAGACGTCACAACGCCCCTCTCCGCTTCTCTCGCTCCCTCTGTGTCACGGGAGCTGCAGACCGATCACTTCTAGGATCACCTCCAGTTGCACTGTTTGGTGATTCTAAGTAATTTTGCTGCTGCTTCTACACAAGAAGGAAGGAACAGAAGCCAGGGACAGATAACCAGTTAGGAGTCCCCCCACCCACAGAGCAGCCAATATCTCCCGCTTGTGTAATCCGGTGGTTAGCCCTGCATCGGAGGCTGCCCAGGAACACGCCCTGAGCAGAAGTGGTCATTGCTAGAACAAGGCCAGGGGACCCATCTCACAGACTCCCCTACATCTGGTCAGCTGTCTCCAGATTCAGGCTGGCCAACAATGAGCCAGATGGCAGAGATGCCACTTTTCTCCCGTCGGCACAGCAGAGGAACTGCGTGTCAGCATCAGGCGTCTCGATGGCTGGAAGGGGCCTCTGTGGACCTTTACGTTAGAACAGCCCTTCATTTTACAAAGGAGGAAACTGATTCCTAGGGAGGGAAGAGGGCCATCCAGGGCCACACGGCCGGTGGACACTGAGATTAAAGCGTCCCTGTTGGTCTGCATGTCTGTCTGCGTTCCTGCTGCCAACACCCAGGACGCGACCCCCGCACACCCTCGGCCTGCATTTACCTGACTCTGCGGCAACACTGTCTACTCTTTGCATTCATTTTTTAAAATTGAAGTTTAACCTACAAATCCTAAAGGTACAGCTCAGTTACCAGGATTCAGATCAAGAAACAGAACAAAACTAAAAGCAAAACAAAAAAGTAAGAGAACAGAGCCCCTCTCGCCTTCTCCTGGCCACTTCCCCCTGGGAAACCACTGCCTTGAGCTTTGTTTTGCTTTTTATTCCAACTTCCTTAATACCGTGCACTGGCCTGACTTGTTAGAGTCACCAAATAAAGAACGTATCTGATTTTGGTTTAAGTTCAGAGAAGGGAATCAAGTGAGAAGGGTCAGCTCTCCTGATGAAATCGCTCTCCGACCCACTAGTTCAGTGATGGCGAACCTATGACACACGTGTCAGAGGTGACACGCAAACTCATTTTTTTGGTTGATTTTTCTTTGTTAAATGGCATTTAAATATATAAAATAGATATAAAAATATAAGTCTTTGTTTTACTATGGTTGCAAATATCAAAAAATTTCTATATGTGACACGGCACCAGAGTTAAGTTAGGGTTTTTCAAAATGCTGACACGCCGAGCTCAAAAGGTTCGCCATCACTGCCCTAGTTCCTGGAGCTCCCTCCTAAGCCTTTCGAGACCATGCTTCTCAGCTATGCTCCTTAATGACGCCATCTGAACCCAGTTTCCCAAGAAACACTGGGCATTGCTAAGCTGGCTCCTCCCATCGAAAGCACGCAGGGAAGTCCTTTGCTGCTGCAGGTGATTCTGCAGCTCCTGCGACTGTAAACGGCATAAACCCAAGGGGGCTGGGGTCACAGGTAGCAGCAGTCAGAACCGCCCTGGACAGCTCGGGGGTGGGAGGGAGCGTGGTGTGTTGGAGTACTCGGGGTGACCTTGCCTTTCCCTCGGCTCTTTTTCTCCCCAAGGCCATCGTCCCGATTCCCAGACCGGCCCAGGCCTCGTTGCTCACTCTATATGATGTGCCCGCCCAGAGCCGCGGCCCCTCTGCCTTGAAGGTGAGCCTTGACCCTGGCCCTGCTCCCCCAGGGGCCTCTCAGGGTCACAGGGATGACCTCCGGAGTGTCTGCCTGCTCCTGGCCCCACTCAGAATCCAGCTTCCGCCAGGGAGCCAGACCTGCTCAGAATGTTATGACTGAGAGCTGAGCATCTTTAAAACTTCCACTTCTCATTTGTAATAGACACTTATATCAATGCACACACGCTTACATGTGCATAGACATAGACGCATTTTAGGAATAATATTTTGAAAGGTATACAGGGTGGAGCAAAAGTAGGTTTACAGTTGTGAATACACAAAAGAGTTTGTCCTCGTATTATTATTTATTACTTTATTATTTTCCCTATGAAAAACTGTATGCCAACTTTATTTTAAAAATATGTTTTTATTGATTTCTGAGAGAGGAAGAGAGAAGGAGAGAGAAAAACATGAATGATGAGAAAAATACATCCACTGGCTGCCTCCTGCACACCCCACACTGGGGATTGAGCCCACATCCCGGGCATGTGCCCTGACCAGGAATCGAACTGTGACCTCCTAGTTCATAGGTCGATGCTCAACCACTGAGCTATACTGGCTGGGTTGTAAACCTACTTTTTTTAAAAAATATATTTTATTGATTTTTTACAGAGAGGAAGGGAGAGGGATAGAGAGTTAGAAACATCAATGAAAGAGAAACATCGATCAGCTGCCTCCTGCATACCTCCTACTGGGGATGTGCCCGCAACCAAGGTACATGCCCTTGACCGGAATCGAACCTGGGACCTTTCAGTCCGCAGGCCAACACTCTATCCACTGAGCCAAACCGGTCAGGGCTGTAAGCCTACTTTTGCCCCACTCTGTACATCAGAGTATTAACATCATCATTGGTTATATTAGCATTAATTACCTCTGGGGGATAAAATTTTAGATTTTTTTTTAACTTATTTGTAACTGGTACGTCAAATTTGTAAGGCATGCCTCCTGTAATCAGAGGACAAGTCCACTCACGTCTCAGCCCATCCGAGCTCCTGGGGCTGCAGCGCGTAGCCCGCTGCAGCACGTAAACCCAGCACAGAGCTCCATGGCCCAGGCCCCACATCCTCAGCGGTTTGTGTTTGCGTTTGGAAGAAGCACGGGCGTGGGAGAGCTGTGATGGCTTAGGCTTCAGGAAGGAAAAACCCACGTGGTCCTGCTTTGTGGTCTTTCCCAGGAGCCGGGGAAGCAGCAGTTATATGACATCCCCGCCAGCCCCCGGAAGGCAGAACGCGGTCCCCCGGCCGGCCAACCCAGCGTAAGTATGACCGCTGCTGAGATCCGGTGCAGCAGACCTGCAGGCCTCCGGGCCATGAGTTAGCTCGGTCAAGGCGTGCCATGCCAGCTCCTCGGGGCAGACCTCATTTCTCGGAGCCCCTCGCTGCCGTGGTTGGGGAGCAGGGCGGCCGTTGGGGGGGGGATAAGTCCCCTCACCTCTGCAGCCTCCGTGTCCATTGCAGACTCCTGGCGAGCATGGAGACCCCTGGGAGGGTCCCAGCACGGTGCTGGGCAGAGTAGGAGCTCAGCCTGCCTTAGAGAAATGCTTCGTATTATCTTAGGCCGCAGAGCTGTGCTGTGTTTAAGTGGGTTTTGATTTGTATGTCGGGCAAACGCCTTAACCTGAGATCTGTGTCATCCCTGTTGATCCTGGATCCTGTCACATGTTTGCAATCGATACGTGGACGCCCAAGGTGATCAGGGAAGGCCTTACAGGAGGGCTGGCATCTCAGCAGTGTCGTGCAGGATGCATAGGAGTTTGTTAGATGGAAAAGAAAGGGTTGGGAGGCATTGAGAGCAGGGGGACAGTTTGGGCAAAAGTAAATATCTCAGTGTAAAGTGGCCATTCTGGGTCCGGGGAAAGGTGAGCAGCCTGGCAGCTGGACCTACAGGGAGGTGGGGCAGGTGAGGGGAGCGTGACGGCAGCGGGAAGAGAGGCTCTCAGGAGAGTGGAGCCAGGCTGTGAAGGGCCTGGAGAGACAATGGCGGGGGAGGGGTGGTAAGGGGGGAGCCGCTGCAGCAGCTTGAGCAGGGAGTGGCCAGCAGCACAGGGCCCGGAGCTCCGGGGCCTCGGCAGCATGCACATTGCACATGTATCGAGTGAGGTGCCCCACCTCTTTTCTTTGCTACTAACCTTGGTGACTTTACGTGGTTCTCCACAGCGACAGAGTGCTCCCGTGACAGCAACAGTTGCCCTAGGCAGAGCCTGCTACAAAACATTGCCAAACCCCCAGAAATCAGAGTGGATTTATGACACTCCAGTGTCTCCAGCAAAAGCGGATGTGAGAAATGTCTGTGTTACCGGCTTTGTGGAAGAATCGGGGTCCCACGCCCTCCCCAGATCCATGTCCAGTTTCCACAGTCCTCCGAACAGCAGAGCACGGTCCCTCGCCCCACACCTGCGTGGAAATGTGCCCGTGCAGAACCCCAGCCTTCCAGAAGTCCCCGCCTGCCCCCGTCCAGCGCCCGGGGACGCCTGTCCTTCCGACAGGGGTGTCAGCTACAAGATCCCTTTGAGCTTTCTGATTCCCCGAGTGGAGCAGCAGAACACCAAGCCCAACATCTATGACATCCCTATCCCTGTGCCCAGCGCCCCTCGGGCTGGAAAAGAGCCAGGGGACGCCGACAGGGCTTCAGGGGAGACCTCGGACCCTCACTGCGCATGCCTCTCCAGACAGGCCACATGGCCCGCCCCTGAGCCGGACAGACTGTCCGTGAACAGCTCTGACAGCAGGGCCAGCATCACGTCTTCCTGCTCCTCCATGTCCACCGACTCCTCGTGCAGCTCCTCCTCGGAGGAGTCGGCGAAGGAGCTCTCCTTGGACCTGGCCTTGGCCAAGGGCACGGCGACGGCTCTCCAGCAGAAGGTGGCCAGCTCGGTGGCCGGCCTGATGCTCTTTGTCAGCAGGAACTGGAGGCTCAGAGACTCTCTGGAGGCCAACATCGACGCCATCCGCAGGGCCGCCGACCTCATCGAAGAGTCCCTGAGAGAATTTCTGGATTTCGCCCGCGGAGTCTGCGGGGCCACCGGGAACCTCCCCAGCAGTAGCCTTCAGGCCAGAATTAGGGATCAGCTGCAGACGATCTCCAACTCCTACCACATCCTGCTGGAAACCAAGGAGAGCCTGGAGGGCTGCCACTGGTCCCTGGACGTCCTTGTGACAGACAAAGCCCAGAGCAGCCTGGATGACCTGGAGAGGTTTGTCATGGTGGCAAGGATGGTTCCGGAAGACATCAAGAGGTTCACCTCCATTGTCATTGCCAACGGGAGGCTCCTCTTCAAGCAGAATGGTGAGAAGGAAGAGACCCCACCGTGGGCCCCCAAGACAGAATTCAAGCTGGCGAAAGGCATCCAGCTTCCCCGGAGGGAAACGGAGTCCTACCAGCGGAGTGCGCCTCGTCCTCAGCAGAGGGAGAGCGGGCCCTGCCCCGAGCTGCTCGGGAAAAGCTGGGCCAGTGTCTATGAGAAGGTGAGTCCGGGTTCTGAGCAGGGCAGCCTGAAGGGCTCTCCACGTGGACCTGGCGTGGTCGCCGGAAAGTCAGGTGCTGAGCGTCTTCCAGGGATGGGATAGGCTTTGGGAGACAAATTCCTGAAAGTAAAATTCCAGATGAAACCTTAGAAAGAAGTCAGTTAAACATTTTAATGTTAAGGCAGAGAGGATGTCTTCTGGAAATTTGGGGATTTGGGTTTTACCTCTGACACTAAGATGAGAAAGGACTTTAAAAGCCTTTTGAAGTCCATTCTATGAGCAAATTTCTTAATTTCACCATCAAGGTTTTTTTGCATTTTTTTGAAAGTTATGAATCTAGTCATGGTCCGTGTGTTTCTTATGAATGGAAGAAGGGCGTGTAAACACTCTTCCAAACTGTGTGTGGTCTCAGCAGCCTCGAGACTCCACTTGCTCTTAGAAAAACTCCGCTGCCTGAGTTCAGATGCTATAGAAAGAACGTCTGGTTCAGGAGCTGCCAGTCCCTGCGGCTGAGTGGCCCGGGTAACCTGGCACTTTGGGGCTCAGTCTTGGTATCTTGGTTTTCTGCTAAAATGCCTTGTGGTGTAAGAGCCGCAGCACATTCTAGACAAGCTAGAAATGTGGATATTTTGCATTTCCCAAATAAATAAATATTTCTTAAAAGGGCCTGTGTGTCATTATGCTAGGCCATATCGTAGACACAATTCAGCCCATGGGCGACCAGAGCGTCCTTGTTGAAAAAGGCTTCAGTCAGTTCACAGAACAAAAGCATGAAGAGGAGTGCTCGATTTCTAAGTGGGCTGAAAGAGCTGGCCAGCCTTAAAACAACCATTCCAGGGGGTAATTCGGAGGGATTGTCTTTTTCAGAAGTTGCCTAACCTGGAAGAGAAAGTAAAACCCATCCTGGAACAAAGATTGGATGAAAACAAAGACTTAGAAACACAGGTAAGCGAGAATGACCACCCTCCTACACTTCCGATCAGCTGCTTTCTCCGGGAGACCTTTCCTGCTGTGAATCCTTCAACATTGTAGCCATGACACTGGCAGGAGACTTGGGTTTTGTGATGGTTTTTCCTTGTTACGGTGGAAGGGCCCCTGCAGGTGGAGCGCAGGATGGGGACTGTGATCTTCAACCACTCCTGAGAGGACGCAGGGCTCTGCCCCCGTCATGGGCGGGCGCCACAGGGCAGAGTCCAGGGCTCACGCTCCCTTTGACATTCTCTTTTTCGGCTTCTGGTTACAGCTGAAAGGCCGTTTTGGTTCTTTCTAGATTGGTTTTTATTTATTTTTCTTCAACACTTTTTGACATTTGATGTTCTTTCTTTATTTTTAATCAAAGGTGTTATCATTGTGCTTTTTGTTTTGTTTTATTTTGTTTGTTTTTATTTATTTTTTAATTGCTTAAAATATTACAAAGAGTATTACATATGTTTTCCTTTCCCCCCACCCTATTTTGTTTTGTTAATAACAAAATAAAAAATCACCCAAGGATATTTTTTCCATTGATTTTTAGAGAGAGTGGAAGGGTGGGAGGGAGGGGGAGAGAGAAAAAGAGAGACATTGATGTGAGAGACACATTGATTGCTTGCCTCCTGTACCTACCCCGACCTGGGCCAGGGATCAAACCTGCAACCCAGGCACGTGCCCTTGACTGGGAATCGAACCTGTGGCCCTTCAGTGCACAGGCCAACGCTCTAACCAGTGAGCAACACCGGCCAGGGCCCATTGTGCTTTTTTTTTTAATATATATTTTTTATTGATTTTTTACAAAGAGGAAGGGAGAGGGATAGAGAATTAGAAACATCGATGAGAGAGAAACATTGATCAGCTGCCTCCTGCACACCTCCTACTGGGGATGTGCCCACAACCAAGGCACATGCCCTTGACCAGAATCGAACCTGGGACTCTTCAGTCCACAGGCCGATGCTCTATCCGCTGAGCCAAACCAGTCAGGGCCCATTGTGCTTATTTTTATTGATGACCTTTTCTTGGTGGCAAATGACAGCAGTTTTCCTTTTAACAGTTTAAAAAGTTCCCTTTAAATTAATATAAGTGGATCCATTTAAAGACAAAGATTAAACAAATTGGTGTTAAGAGGAAGCCAGGAAGAGCTTAACTGGTGGAGGTTTTCTTTGAATTGCTGAAGCCTGGGACGCAGTGAGCCAGCCCGACCTCGCTGGCTGGGGCGTGGGCGGGGTGGGAGGAGGAGGGCAGCGGTGTCCAGCCATGTGGACACTGCTCAGAGGTAAACGAGGACCAGATCCCAGGCCTCCTGATCCACATTCCCGGAGCCTCCAACACCTCTCTTTGGGCCTGAAATCCTTGCTCTTTTCTTCAGCATGAAGTAAGCCTTAGACCAGGCCTCTCAGACTGGAGAGTGTATCACAGGCTCCTCCCCCCGCCCCCCCCCCACAACACACACACACAGTGTCTGACTCAGGAGGTCTGGGTGGGACCCAGAATTCTTTTCTAACAAGTTCCCAGCGAAGCTGATGCAGCAGGTCCAGGGGCCACACGGGAAACGACTGCTTTAGACGGACAGTGCCTCTCAGGGTGGGGGGCACCGCTGGCCATTGTGTGGGTGGACACTCAGCACCCCCAGCGCTGCCTCTGCCTGCCTGCAGAGCTCCCTGGTCGGTGTGACAGATAACCGGGAAATCCCCCAGTTCTAACGCCCCAGGATGAGAATCACGGCACATTCTTACTTACCTACAGTTAACACTGTCAAGCTAAGATGCTGGCATTCCAGCGTGGAGATTGTTGCTCCTCATTCCAGCCTCTGCTGCATCCTCCTCTGCTCCCTGCCCCCAGAGGCCTGCCTCAGCCAGCACCCCGATCTTTCCGTCCCTTTACCTGTCTATCTTGGTCCGTGTGTGCTGCTGTAACAAAGTCCTGTCGATGGAGTGGCTTATAAACAACAGACACGTATTTCTCGCCATTCTGAAGCTAGGAGTTTGAGATCAGGGCACCAGCGTGGTCAGGTTCTGGGACAGCTCCCTGCCAGGCTGCAGCCTGCCTTGGCGCTGTGCCCTCTGGATTCCTACAAGGGCCCTGATCCCACCCATGGGGCCCCACTGCATGGCTTCACCTAGTCCTAGTCACATCCCAAAGGCACGATCTCCTCGTCCCTTCATATTGGAGAGGGGAGTTTCAACATATGAATTTGGGGAGGACACAGTCAGACCATAGCACCGTGTGAGTGCTCCTGGGCTGTGCATTTTGAGGTCATAGGTGGAGGAGAGTTTCAGGATGCAGTTTAACAGGAAGAATGAGTTTCAGACTTCACTCACTCCAGATCTTTATTTTTCTCATTGAAAGACTCTAGGCAGCCTTTTGCTTCAGGGAGCCTCACTCTCGTCACTTATCACCTAGCAATGGGGCTTTCGAATGCTCCCTGGAGTGGTCGCCACTAAGTTAGATGCTGAAATCTTTCTACAGTGGGTAGGCTTTAGGGGGACACTGGTTCCATAGTCTAGAAAATAAAATGCATGGAAGTGAAACTATAGATAAAACCTTATTAGCAAGCAAGAGAAATGTTTTTTAAAATATATTTTTTATTGATTTCAGAGAGGAAGGGAGAGGGAGAGAGAGAGAAAGAGAAACATCAGTGATGACAGAGAATCATTGATTGGCTGCCTCCTGCACGCCCCACACTGGGGATCGAGCCTGCAATCTGTGTATGTGCTTTGCCTGGGAATTGAACCGTGACCTCCTGGTTCATAGCTTTTGCTCAACCACTGAGCCACACCAGCCGGGCACAAGAGAAATATTTTCATGTTAAGGCAGGCATGTCAGCATACTTAGATTTCTTCTGAAAAATTTTGAGGGTCAGGTCCTACCTCTGATACAGGAGTTAGAAAGGAGTTTTTAAATCCTTTAAAATCTGTTATTTGAGCCCTAACCGGTTTGGCTCAGTGGATAGAGCGTCGGCCTGTGGACTGAAGGGTCCTGGGTTCAATTCTGGTCAAGGGCATGTACCTTGGTTGCGGGCACATCCCCAGTAGGGGGTGTGGAGGAGGCAGCTGATCGATGTTTCTCTCTCATCGATGTTTCTAGCTCTCTATCCCTCTCCCTTCCTCTCTGTAAAAAATCAATAAAATATATATATATTTTTAAATCTGTTCTTTGAGGAAACATTTTAATCTCACCATCAAGTTTTCTTGCATTTTTTGAAAGTTGTAAATTTGGTCATTACCAATGTGTTTCTTCTAATGGTTTGTTGAGAGAATTGAATAAGATTTTATATATTTGTATAAAATATGTGAGATTATATATAATGCAATTCATGAGGTTGTATATATCATAATTTTTATGTAACAGTGCTTTGAAAACATAAATATTAATTAGTTAGGCAAATGTTGCGCTATGGGGTTTCCCAGACAAAACGACCTTTTCTTATCAAAAGTCTACCCAACCGAGCAAAAGCTGGACAAGGGGCCAAGCACAGCCTGTCGGTGGAATCCGTCTCTTATCGACTGCTCTCTCTCTTCCCTCCCCTAGGACCTCAGCTCCCCTGTGCAGCAGGACCCGGGGAAGAAGGCCCACCTCTCGGAACACTGCCGGCTCTATTTCGGGGCGCTCTTCAAGGCCATGGGCGTCCTCCACAGCAGCCTCCGCCACAGCCAGCCCCCGGAGATCCTCGTGGCGCAGAGCAAGCTGGTCATCACGATCGGGCAGAAGCTGGTGGACACGCTGTGCAGGGAGACGCAGGACAGGGACGCGCGCAACGAGATCCTCCGCGGCAGCAGCCACCTGTGCAGCCTGCTCAAGGACCTGGCGCTGGCCACCAAGCGCGCCGTGCTGCAGCGCCCCAGCCCCGCCGCGCTGGCGCACCTCCGGGCCGAGGCCGACAAGCTGGAGCAACACGCGAGGCAATTCAGGGGGTCGTTGGACTGAGCCTCCCTCCCTCCCTTCTGTGCGCTCTTGTCTTAAGGGGAGAGCCAGCCAGAGGTGGGGAGGGGTACACCGATGGGCAGAAGAGCCACGTGCCCGAAGCCTAGGCAACCCCAGGACATTGCCTTGTCCCACAGACAGTCAGGGGAGAGAGACGGGTGTTGAGTAAGGACCTTGCTAAGTGTTCATGACGTAAGGTCGGTGTATGAAGTGACATTGTAGAAACTGATTTTTGTACCGGTTAAATGTGTGCCTGTTTTAAATTCATTCAGTATTTATTTATTGGACACCTACTAGATGTGCAATTGCAGGTGCTGCTCATGTAGCAGTAAATGAATCAGAGACCTCGCCCTCAGGGAGCTTACAGTCTATGGGGAGACAGAGAGGGGAGACAGAGAACTCAGTGACAGAGAAAGACATATCCTGTATGTCAGGTGCTGGGGAGAAAAGAAAGGGGGGTGGGGGGAGAGACTTATTTCCAAATGAGTAATGGTCGCATCCGTTAGATAAGGTCATTGGTATTTCATTTTTGATGGAATTGATTCTGTGAGATTGGTACACATTATATATCTGTGTCTTACACCAAATATATATTTATATTTGCTATTTTGTCTTCACCGAGTTAAAGATGCATATTATACTTGCAACATAGCCTGTTCTGTTGGGTTCCCTGTTAATTTATTTTGTACACTGTGGAGTCTGTGTTGATAAATTCAGGATGCTCAATCAGCAAAGGTTTGTACCTCAACATTTACAGCATTACCATTTATAGTATCGTGTAGATATAATCATGAAACATCCTTTGCACCAAGGCTTTCCTTGGAAAAGTCTTTGATCCGTGTTACTCAGATGCTGGTACCAAAGCAAAGTCTCCAGTGCTTTTGTTATCCAGATGCATCTCCCTAGAGTGTGCAGAGGGATGGAGTCGAGGCCAAGTTCTGGTGCACAAGGCTAGCGCGGGAAAAGCAGAGCCGTCCCTCGTTGTGGTCCAGGCAGGAAGTGTGTGGGGACAGACAGGATACTCATCTCCAGGCACAGATATGAACGTGGCTTGGAGCTCGCTTGCATCAAACCACCTCCTCTTCTCCTAGCAGCTGGGTCTTTAGCTCATGTTGCTATGGTTACACCATCCCCACTTCATGTCAGGTGAAGGTCCATGTTTCTATACGCATCTCAGCCACAAAACAACATCTCCAGGCTGGTAGTCACCTGAAGTGGAACCAGGTTCAGTTCCTGCCTGCTGCTCTGTGTTCAGTAGATGCTTTCAAATTGTTGGCTGCAGGAAGCTGGTTATTTTTGCTGTTAGTCTTGGGGTTCCGGAAGAAGGAGCCAACTGGGAGAGGCTTGGTATACCAGAACGGGGAGATCCACCTTCTCTGAGCTGCTGTGACCTGTATCAGTTAGGATTCCTGCTGCAAGTGATCAAAACCCATATCCAATCCCTCTTAAGCAGTAAAGGAAATTTATTGACTGAAGTATCTTAAAATCACCCAAGTGCTGACTGGCTTCAAGACCGGCTGGTTTTAGCCCTGGCCAGTATGGCTCAGTTGGTCATCTTGTGCACCAAAAGGTTGCTGGTTCGATTCCTGGTCAGGGCACTTGCCCGGGTTGCAGGCTCGACCCCTGGAGTGCGTGCAGGAAGCAGCCGATCTCTCACATAGATGTTTCTCTTTCTCTCTCCCTCTCCCTTCATTTTTCTCTAAAAAAATATCAATGAAATGTTTTTAAATCAATACAAATATTTTTTTAAACCAAGACCGTCTTGTTTTGGATGAACAGTATCCACAAGGCCCACTTTGTTAGTCCCGTTTTCTCTGAGTTAACACTCATTATTGCAAGGTGGTTGCCCATGTTCTTGGTTTGTGGCATGTAATGCCCAAGTGGTCCTAGACCTGGAATTCTCCCCTACACACCACACACGCGCGCGCACACACACACACACACACGTGTCCTGACAGAAAGGCAAAGAGGTGTCTCTGCCAAGAACTGTGAAATGTCTGAGATTTCCGCCCCCCCTTCAAATGAATATTAGCCCACCCCAGTGTCATGGATGCAGACAGAAGACATGAGATTCTGGGGTCAGAGACTATGTCGGGGGTCCCCAAGACCACTCCCAGGTTCAAAGATTCATGAGGAGGATTTGCAGGACTCAGCGTATAGTCAGACTCCTGGCTGTGATCTATCACAGTGAAAGGATGTGGGAAGGGAAAAGGCGGGGGGTGAGTGCAGAGGAAACCAGGCTGAAGCTGCCAGGAGTCCTCTCCCAGTGGCCACAGGGACAGCCTTTCTTCTCCCAGGTAACGAGTTGTGACAAAACAGGTGAAGTGCCACCGGCCGGGAAGCTCATGAGAAACCGGCACCCAGGGTTTGTATTGGGGCTGATCATGTCAGCAGCCTCTGTGAAGCATGTACCAAAGTTCCAGACCCTCAGAAGGAAAGCAGGTGTTCAGCACGAGTCACATTGTTTGTGCAATGAGTTTAGACACACTGGGCCATTCTTGTCAACCCTGGGGATGGTGGAAACCCTCCCCAAAGTCCAAGTTCCTATCCAACAACCCAAGGCCAACCTTGCCAAGATGTCCTAATATCCTACAATCCTTCTGAGGATGGGGTCAGGCCTGCCAGGCACAGGGACAAAGGACTTTTCTCACAGCATCACAAGAGCTTATATTTCATATTTACATGCCTTCTACCCCCCGAAGTCCCCTGGGTGCATGTGATGCTGTGCACACAAAGAACCCTGAGCATAGGAAACCCCAATCTTCTACAACAGGATCTGCACAAACCTGGCCAAGCTTGGCCTCAGAGGAGACGGATTATTTGGGGCAGCAAACAAACCTGCCCTTCTGCTCCGGAGGAGACATGGTCTGTCTTCCAAGGGTCTTTGCTACAAATCCAGACCAAATGCCATCAGTGCCTCTGCTCAGAAGACGTGCAGAAACTCAGGAGACCCTGGAGGACTGTCCCAACAGGAGCTTCTAGCAGAGTCAGGAAAGCTGTCGGAAGGAGAGATGGGTGCAGGGAGCACCAGGAACGGTTTACTCCCGTAGGCAAAATGATCTTTTCCACATAGTAATCTCAACAGCACAAATGTGAAGTGATTGCCATGTTCCAGACATTGTTTTAATGCTTTAGATGTTTTAACTCATTCAGTCCTTCAGAAGTGATCTAGTCCCTAATGGGTAGTGTACTGGTCCCTATTGGTTTCAGGACACTATATATGTTTGCATTTACACAAATAGATATAAATATATGTGGAGATATATCTACATTACATAGGTTTTTTTAGATGAGTTCAAACCAAGGACCTTTGTTGACTAAGTACAAAGCCATTGGGTTTTAAATCATCAAAACTGAAAAATCAACTACAATAAAAACAATGAAAAAAATCAAACACTTGGAGGCTAAATAGCATACTTTTAAACAATGATTTGGTTACCAAAGAGATCAAAGAAGAAATAAAAAGCATCCTGGAAACAAATAACAATGAAAACACAACAATCCAAAATCTATGGGACACAGTGAAAGCAGTCCTGAGAGGGAAGTGCATAGTTCTATAGGCCTACCTCAAAAAAACAAGAAAAAAAAATAAATTATCTAATCCTACAACTTAAAGAATTAGAAAGAGAACAACAAGAAAAGCCCAGAGTAAGCAGAAGGAAGGAAATAATGATCAGAGTGGAAATAAATGACATAGAGACCAAAAAAACAATACAAAAGATCAATAAAACCAAGAGCTGGTTCTTTGAAAGGATAAACAAGATTGATGAACCTCTAGCCAGGCTCACCAAGAAACCAAGAGTGAGGACCCAAATAAACAAAATCAGAAATGAAAGAGGTGAAGTAGCAACTGACCCTACAGACATACAAAGGATTATAAAAATAAAATACTATGAACAACTCTACTCCAACAAAATGGACAACCTAGATGAAATGGACATATTCCTAGAAAAATACAAGCTTCCAAAACTCAATCAGGAAGGATTAAAAAAAAACCTGAATAGGTCAATAACTACTGATGAAATTGAAACAGTAATCAAAAACTTCCAACAAACAAAAGCCCTGGACTGGATGGCTTCACAGGGGAGTTTTACCAAACATTCAAGGAAGAA